GCTTTTAAGGGGGAGTGGCCCACTTTCGAGGTACATTTATAAAACACTCTCAAGTAAAAGCTCAGAACTAGTGATGTCTGATAATAGCGCTGGATAGTACCACTGCAGCACCGTCGAGACATAATAAGGATATCAGTGCTAATTAGTCAGATCCATGTTCGCATGTATTCTTATCTAAACATGGTACACCAAGCTTTCGTAGCACCTATTACACAGTTTGACACGTTAGTGTCTTGCAAACATTACAGAATACGCTCGCTGCAAAAGCAGGGCAAATGAAACGTAGTACTTCCGTAGTGGCGAGTCAAAGGAAATTTCTCCCGCAAGGCCGGCTACTTCAAATAGAAATTCTGAGCTATTCAGAAGATTTTCCAGAAAAATGGTGTTACTGATCAAATTGATATAACGTCCATCGCGTCCGATGTAACAATAAGTGAGGGGTACAAAGGAGTTGAGACACTCCCTTTAAGGATAGCAACATCCATGGGCTGCCTTCCATGTACGCCAATCATATTTCGCGGGAGGTCCGAAAAAGAGTGCAAGCATTCAGGTGACGTATAAGTATATCGATTTTTCAATGAGATGCGCAATAAAGCATAGATGTATTATGCGTTGATAGGTGTTGTGAAACGTTTAACATTGAGAGCGTAATAAAAATTATAAACCTAACTAGTGTTCGTGTACATGTATCGGCAGAAGGAATATTATTGCTGACAAGTAAAGACGATACACTTTTGCGGTGGTCAAAATGACAGGTATTTTGTTTTTAGATAAGGGTTTTTCGTTACTTTCCTAGTGTTGTGTAGCACTGATGTCGCATGCAACTCGCCGCAAAAGACGTAACATGGCGTATAAGTAAAGAATGTATAAGCTTTTACTATAGCAGTAATGCCGTTCATAGATGTTGCAACATAAGTTTTGTCGTGTAACTCTCATGTCCTGTATTAGTTTTTGCAGTACAATTAATGTTGCGTTTGAGCAAAAACTGCACAAGTTTGCTGTAGAAACAGAGGTACGAATGTGGTTCAAGGATGACGCGTTAGCTAGTACATGGTGTTGAGCATTGTGCATCTGCCCAACTCAGCCGGCTAGTGGGTTACAGGTCGACATACAGGACGACTTTTAGTTTTTTGTTGTTCCATCAATCATAAACCTGAGTTTTAGCTCTGCGCTCAATAACATTAAACGATTACGCGTGCAACAGCTTGGGGCAAAACATGAAATATCGTTGCTCCAACGGCCAGACGGAGATTAGTCCACGTCATCTACGGGCGTGGCAATTTCCGGGCCTGTCTTCTTGCGCCGTTGCTTTCTGTGGTCGCAGCTCCCATCTGATCGCTAACCGGATTTTATCCGAACCTGGCTCACCCATATCTCTTTCTCTCACTCTTTCTTCACCCGTTTTCTGCTGTTTGACTTACTGTACTGCCGGTCTCGCCAGGGGACTTTTGATATCTCCGTTTTCAAGTGACCCTCAATATACCGCACTTAAGGTCCAACTTTTTTCTTAAATCGGTTATTTCAGTTAGGCCGCTGTGACCCACGTCCGCAGCCCCACGACTTGCGTCAGCCGCTGCCGTACGTGACCTCCGCCGTCGCGTCCGTTTCAGTTCGACCGGTCGGGCCGCTCGCTGAAGTCCGAGTCACTGACCGGCATCGAGCAGGTCCTCATGGAGATCCGGCCGTCCGAGTTCCGCGACGAGCAGCTGCACCGCTACAAGGGTCTGCCCTGGTCCGACTTCGTGTACCACGTCGAGGCGGGCACGGTGCCGCCGCCGGCGCCCACGCCGGCGTCCGGCTCGGCGGCGGCGCTGGCGCTGTCGCGGCTCGAGCGCAGCGAGTCCACCGAGACGCCGTGCGAGCTGCCGGCGACGCGCGCGCGCCGGCCGCGGCCGCCCGCCACGCTGACGCGCACGCTGAGCGAGCGCAGTCTGACGGAGCGGCGCGGTCTGTTCCGGCGTCGGCTGGTGTGGACCAGCTACGACCGCTCGCCGCCGGCCACGCCGCCGGCCTCGGGCGTGGCTAGCCCCGAGAGCCCGGCGCGACGCGGCGCGGCCGCCGACAGCCCGCCGACCGAGCGCCGCTGCCACGAGGCGGTCTGGGACCTCTTCCAGTCCGAGTGTGCATTCCTCTACGATCACCTGATGGTCCTGAAGAACGTGAGTCGACGCGAGGGAATGGGGAGGGAGGGAAGCGGTGGGGAGGCGAGAGGGAGCGCTGGTCGTGTAAAGGGTAGGCTGGCAGAATAACTTTGGGAGATGCCTTGCTGTCAGCCGCAATGGCTCGGTCTGCTGCTTGGGGTGAACAGGCATTGCATAGTGGTGTGCGACTTGTTGCCGAACCGGACGTCTCAACGTCGCGATGCAGAACGCTTTCTCAGGATCGTTACTTTCCACCGCTGGGGATTCGGGAAAGCTGCTGCGAAAACCTCTGGGGCATATCCAATTTGCAATGTCAGCAAGAGAAAGGTCACTGAAAATGGATGGTAGCTAACGCGCATTGCTCAAGAGACGCCCGGAGACAACTTCCAGCAGAGAAAATGGAAACACAGTGAGCCTGAGCCAAAGGCAGTGAGAGTGAGCACCTTGTAATTGGGCCACAACATGGCGTTGGGTCATTTCAAGCCTTGCACACGAGCTTATAGTGCAGCTTCATTGATTCCGGCCCATGTGTCCGGTTACCGATAAATCTTGGCAACCCCATTGTCAGCTCGATCGCAGCCCAGGTAGCATCAAACCACGTGTGATAACACAACCCATTAGCTTTGAGTGTGATGAACGCCATCGATCCGCTGAATCCCTGCGAGTGATGCATGCGAGGTGACCACCTGTGAGGCCGCAGCGGCGGCGGCCGCGGGCGGACGTCCGACGACCTGACCTCGCCCCCACAGGTGTACATGGAGCCCCTGAAGCAGGTGCAGGTGGAGGGCTATCTCATGGTGGCCGAGCCGGAGCTCCTGTTCGGCAACCTGGACGAATTGTGCTGTGTGAGTACCCGGCGTGGTCGGGGAGGGGTGCGATGCGTCAGAGAACTCTTTGGTGTGAGGTGTGGGCAGCAAGGTTTGATGTGTGAGGTGCGGTCGGCGCGGGTGCGATGCGTCAGAGAACTCTTTGGTGTGAGGTGTGGACAGCAAGGTTTGATGCGTGAGGCGCGGTCGGCGCGGGGTGTGATGCATCAGGGACCCCTTTGGTGCGAGGTGCGAGCAGCAAGGTTTGATGCGTGAGGTGCGGTCGGCGCGGGGTGTGATGCGTCAGAGAACCCTTTGGTGTAAGGTGTGAGCAGCAAGGTTTGATGTGTGAGCAGTGGGATGTGATAGTCGAGATTGCAGGTGGGATGTGTGAAGTGTAGGATGAGAGGTGGGAGACGTCAGGAGTGAGGTGTGAGACGTAAGACCTGGAGTGTGAGGAGTGAGATATGAGGTACGACATGCGTAGATGAGAGACGTGAGACGCAGTGTTGAGGCGTGACACATGATACGCAAGGTTTAAGAGGGAGGTGAGAGGTGAGAGAGAGAGAGAGATAGAGGAGAGGGGAGAGAGAGAGAGAGAGAGAGAGAGAGAGAGAGAGAGAGAGAGAGAGAGAGAGAGAGAGAGAGAGAGAGAGAGAGAGAGAGAGAGAGAGAGAGAGAGAGAGAGAGAGAGAGAGAGAGAGAGAGAGAGAGAGAGAGAGAGAGAGAGAGAGAGAGAGAGGTGGGAGGTGAAAAGTAAGAGGTGAAAGGTGAGAGGCGTTACGCACGCAGTGTAAGGCACGAGACCTTAGGCGTGACATATTTGACGGCAAACGTGAGGTGCCGCGCGGGGCGTGACAATATGTGCTGCGAGACGCCAGATGTCATATGTGCGCATTTGGACGTGATATGTGATGTGTGTTGAGTTCGACATGATATGTGATGTGTGTGGAGTTAGACGTGATGTGTGATGTGTGCGGAGTTAGACGTGATATGTGATGTGCGTCGAGTTAGACATGATATGTGATGTGTGTGGAGTCAGATGTGATATCTGATGTGTGTTGAGTTAGACGTAATATGTGATGTGTGTGGAGTGAGGCATGGCATATGATATGTGCGGGTTTAGACCTAACACATGATATGTGCGGGGTTAGACGTGATATGCGATTTGTGCGGAGTTAGCCTTAATATGTGATGTGTATGGAGTCAGACGTGATATATGATGAGTGCGGAGTTAGACGTGGTATGTGATGTGTGCTGCCTCAGACGTGGGATGTGATTTGTGCGAGGTTAGACGTGCCATGTGGTGTGTGCGGAGTCCGACGTGATGTGAGGTATTTGCGGGGTTAAACGTGAGCCGTGACACGTGGGACGTGAGGGCTCCACTCTCTCGAGACAGCTCACGTCCGAGCCGCTCAGACGTCTGAGCTCGCCAGCCAGCTCTGTTCCGGCCCAGCCCCGGTCCGTGCTGCGCTCTAGCCGGCGGCGCCGAGGACTCCCGTGGGGCGCCCAGCCGTCGCGGCTGCTGGGCACGTGCCCGTACGTGCCGCCGCGGTCGCCGCGGTCGCCGCGGTCGCCACGGACCATCAGGCGTCGTCAGGCGCGCGCCACGCCGGGGTGCCCAGTGCAGACGGCTCGCTGTCCCCGGCCGCCAAACTTTGCCAATACCTAGAACAAATGGCGCAACTCTGCCCACTTTATGCGCAAACTTTGCCCTGCGATGGCCCTCACACCTGTTGGTGGGGTGGCGACGGGATGACCCGAAGCGATACACTTGCGGACTTTCTCGGCTGATGGGCGAGGCGAGAAGGGTGGGAAGGGCGGTGGTCATCACGCGGCGTGGTGGCGGCTACGCGTGGATAGCTGCTTCCGAATGTGGCGGCTTATCTCTGGGGTTCGAAAAGGGCACATGCGTGAGTATGCGATTCGGTGGGTGCGAGGGTTAAGTAATAGGACGAGACCCACGCTATCCCACAGGCATTTAATTCAAAAATCTGTTGCGCTATAAGGAAAAAGGTCTACCTCGGCAGGTACAATAGAGCAGAGTTGTCCGGTTTATGAGGAGATGAGTGAAGCAGTTTTCTGGGGGAAAGAACCCGGATTCACGTTTTGGGTACTGCGATAGTTTTGCTGTTCACGGATGAATAGTTTCGGCAGTTGATTTCTTAAGTCGTCCGTTGCTGCGTTCTGTAATCCGCCAATTTGTTTTAAGCAGAATGTGCGCGGCCAACGCTTTCAACGTGGCACACCACTCATTGGATGTATTTCCGAACTGGCAGATCTCCAAGCTTAAAAATTACCACAAAAGAACTGAGATAACGAAGGCCATATGTCTCTGCCCGTGGTGATACCGGTAGGAGTGAAATGCGTTTTCTGTTGTGACATATGTTCTTGGTATCATGTAAGTAAAATCCGCGGGCTTTGTGCAATTACGTAAAACAATTGTTCTCGCTTTCAGCCATATTCGGAACATGCGGGAAGATCTTGTTTGGCGCCACAGGGTGGCCATTTTACTTACATGCAAGATACGCCTGGGTTGAATGCTCATTGACTTGCATTTGAGTCCACTGAGCGTAGTGTTTTGTCTCTATATGCAGAACCACCTAAGCATGACGACTGGCTGGAGTGCGGCAGCGTGGCTCAGGGTAGCCGGAATGGATCAGCGTGACACAGGGTGGCCGGAATGGGTCAGCGTGGCACAAGGTGGCCGGAGTGGGTCAGCGTGGCGCAGGGTGGTTGGAGCGGGTCAACATGGCACTGCGTGGTCACGTTAGGGCACCGCACGGCATGAAATCGATTCCGTTACGATTCTATTTGCCAAAGTGGATGAGCGTCCAGCAGTCCGTTGAGCTGGAGTGGGCCTGCCTGGATGGTGGGCTCATGGCTTCAGTAATGAGCTCAGCTTAGCATGCGCTCGGAGTCTGAGTCCAATGTCACCCATGGGAGGTGTTCAGAATACAATATACTTAAACCATGACCAACGCTAAGTGTGAGTTTTACGGGACGTTGGAGACAAGATTTAATGCATGATGCGCGGTGTCGAAAGGTAATTGTTGGTCCTGCGAAGACCTTAACGGTGCTAGGCGTATTGCCGCGCATGTTCATCAGTCAGCAACTTTCTTGGCTGGGACAGACATGTGTCCGTACGCCGACCAGCATCACGTCCTTCCCAAGACCAGCTGCACGTGATGACGGCTGGGGCGGCAACGAATTAAAACGGCCGTGGACAGTAACGTCATTACGGAAACGATGTTTCTAGCTGGAGGTGCTACGCTCGTGCAATGTGTTCTCCATCGGCAGCCGAATTTAATTCATGAAAAGTGAAGTCTCTTAAGTAAAACGACATTGCACGTAAAGAGCACTTTTGAGAGGACAGCTGCCCGATGATTATTCCGTCTGTACAACGTGCAAGAAGATAAAAACGGTTGCCAAGTACGACTAAGGCTATCACGGGTGGTTGGGGATTATTTTCATAGCTTTTTCCGATGATAGGCGCCTTACATTCCGTTCCGACTTCTGCGCTTCTCATCACGCATTTCATGGCGTATGAATGTCACTGCCTGAAACGAACGAACATATGAACGGCGAACCAGCGAGTACCGTCCAGCCCGCAGGAGCTAAGCATTGCTCACCGCGTGTCGGCGCATCTCAGCGGGCAGCCCTGACTGATCACGTCGTGCACGCCTCTTGTCATGCGTGCAGTGATCTTGGCTGTCGACGTCGGCCGACGACACAGACTTCGGCGCGCGCGGGATGGGGAGGGGATGGGGTCACCCGGCGCGCGGCGTTGATGGCCGCGTTTGTCCGCGTCCCGCGCGTTATGCAGGTTATTGGGGAACAGGTGACGCACGCTCGCGAAAAACGCGAGCAGCGCCGTCTAGCGGCCCAAGTGAGAATAACCTCCGGAGTGTTGCAGCCTGGAATTGGTGTTTTTCATCACGCTGCGTTACGGTTCCTCGCATCACGCATTTCAAGTGCGCAGGCAATCAGCCAAGCTTGCAAGTTACACGCGGCGCGCGGTGCCCGGCGTGTTTTAGCGAGGCGGTGCTAGTAATTGGTTTGATTTGCGAGGCGAGCAGTGACAGGGCTGACTGAGTTTATATGTACTCAATGCCAGCTCAGGTTTGGATTGTAACTCAGCGTTGTGTTAGGCATTGAATTGATGCCCGGAGGCATGCAGACCGCTTGGTTGTGCTGGCTTCTTATTGACGCGTCTTGTGGAACTGCATAGGCGGACATAGTGGCTGAATGACTGAATTATAGTCACGATTTTTATGTTTGATACGATGTCGGTTGTAATACTTGGAGTTCCGTTGACTCATCGGAAAATCTGCTTCTTATTGTGTGCGACGCAAGGTGATGTGCTTGCGTTAATGCTCTTTGTTGAGTGAAGGAACATGATTACGGGCCTTAACACGCGCCCGGGTGGCCGGTTGGATGCCCTTCGCTCGGGTGAGGGGTGTCAATTTGACCCCCCCCCCCCTGAGATCTCAGAAACTAAGAAAGCCGGAGGCACAAAATTTCCAGGGTGTGTTGGCCTGCACCTGAACTCATTTAAATGATAGTTTGAGGTTTCTAGGTTTTCACCTTCGGGTTAAATAAGGTCAAACAAGGTCAGTCTCCAGGTTTGTCCCCAAAGTACCTCCCTAGAACCTAGATACCTGTTCTAAGCAAATCGTCACATGATCATATAAGGTCAGTGACCTTGTTTGACGTATCAAAGGTCATGTTGACCAAAATAATTCAAGACTGCGTTAAGTTTTGCCTTTGAATAAGCGACAAAGATTGTGCTCGGCAGTATGTTCCTAAAAACAAAACGTTGACCCAGGTCATTTTAGGTCAGCGACCTATTCTGACCTTTGAGAAGTGCATGGAAGATATACACTGAGGTTCCTGTCATCAATAAATTCGAAATGAGCATCAAAAACTACCCCATACAGCAAGCCATAGGGTATTAAAACACATTGGCTTTGACCTTGATCTGGCTTTCAAAAATGACCTTAGGTAAAAAAAATCTGTTCATTCAATTGTTGCGTTGT